TCTCTCTCTCTCTCTCTCTCTCTCTCTCTCTCTCTCTCTCTCTCTCTCTCTCTCTCTCTCTCTCTCTCTCTCTCTCTCTCTCTGTGTCTGTGTCTTTTGTTGCTGGCAACACTAAGTCCACACTTGAGTTAATGTCAACGGACCTTACGGGCCTGCCTGGCGGTGTCCTACCCTCACCCGACTCCCCCCCTTCCCTCCCGTTGTTCCCCTAGGCCATGAAAACGGGGTCGGGTGGGGCAGTCCGAACCAGCTGTACACCGGTCCGAACGCCCGTACAGACAGGCCGTCCGATGAGGCCCCGTACAGCAGACGGGAGACTACACAGGTCTCGGGTCTATTGTTATTGCACCAATTGCAGAAACGTTTTCAATGCCTGTGTGAACACCGCTCAACTTAATGTCGCATGCTGCACCACAAGTGCCACCGCGTCCCATAACACCCATAACACACACAAACATATCCACACACAGGCACACATGGTCTGAACCTTGGAAACAAAACAGTCTGGCACAATCATGCCTTTTTGGTGGAGTCCGAGTCGTGTACAGCGAACATGACAAACACACAAGCGCACATGGTCTGAAGCTTGGACTTGGACTTCCATAAGGCATTTCATTCATGCAACCATGGTCAAGACAACTCACACTGGACTCGTCAAAAGAAGCAGGATCGAACAACGGCTTCATAGAACTGCTAACATCATCATCATTTTCTCGACTTCAAACTCAGCACCTACTCCTTCCTGATTCTGAAGTCCAGAGTTGGCATGGCAACCAAATTTTGGCTTTCATCATTTTCTGTGACTGCAAAGCTCAAACTCAGGCTAAACTACGAAACTCACATTTCTAATTTCCAAGTCCAGAGTTTGCATTGTCACCAACTTCAATTTTTTTTTTTGCCTGAAAGCCGTGAACATTCGGACTCGGACTTTGCAACACATCAACAGCCCATCAAAGATGAGACATAAATAATGAACTCGAGCTTTCAATGTCGTGCGCGCAAGTGAGAACTCGAATCCCACATAAGCTTTTTTCTTTTTTTGGGGGAGGGAGGAGAAAAGGGGATTCAAATTGGGGGAAAATGATCAAACAAAAGTTACAAAACCAATCATTGACAAGGTCAAATGAAACCGAGCAAAACCGAGCAAAATCAAAACAAACAAAAAAGAAAAAGAACGAAAAACGAGTAGGCAAACAAGTGCGTCTCGTCTCAAATTTCAAAATCCGGAGTTCGCTTCACCACTTCAACCTCTCAAACCGCCAGGACCCCAACGAGCTACCGTAACCACCAGGACCCCGGCCAGCTCCTCCAACCACCAGGACCCTCACGAGCTACCCTGCACGCAACCGCTGGTTAACCTGTCACTGCAGAAAGGCTACGCTTACCCGACCGAAAAGGCTGCTGACCCTTGCCCCAAACTTTTTAGAAATTTTGGCACAGGCAAAATCGGACATCGGAAGAAGAGGCTGGAAGGTAGTAGTGGTTTTAGCCTCAAGACACCTCAAAGCTCAAAGTGGCGACTTGGGGAAAGCTGCACACTTTCAATTCCCAATCGGCCCCTTTCACACAAAGTCCCTGGGACTGTGGTAACCATACTTGCAAGCAGACCAGTCTGGTCCGCTTTGCCGCATGCGGCACCCTCCCCCCGGACCAGACGCACCCGGACCGGACCGGACGAGGCCCTTTTTTTGGGTGGGTGGGTGGGTGGGGCGTAACTGGTCGTCGGGCGCACATTCGTGCGCCGCGCGGGTCCGGTCCGGCGGTCTGCCGCACATGCGGAACCGCCCGGACAGCGTCCGCGTGCAAGTATGGTGGTAAAACATTGTCTGCAGTCGTGTTGGTTCAGTCCTTGAACTCGCTTCCAACTCGGCGGAAAATAGAGAAATTGAGAGCTCTTGCAAATTGGATTGGAATGTGCTCCCCTTGTTTGGCACTCCCTCCCAGGGTCGTCTCACCTTCCATCTTCATCTGCTCTTTGCAACGACCTTCAAGATATGATCATCCTCCTTTTGACAAGCCTTTCATCTGCTCTGTCGCTCAAGATACGATCCTGCAAGTCAACAGATCGAGCTTCAGGTTGGCCTGTTCACAGATCTACGACTCTTTATTTGATCCATTTGCGCCATGCTCACTTGTCACACTCCTGGTTTTGTTGGTTTGCAATTATCGCATTGGAGCTGTCAATTAGCGCTGTCAGCGGATCGCGGTGCTAATGCAATGCTGATGGAAAATAAATTGAATTGAGAAAGAAATGGACCTTCATTCGAATATATCTAGCATTCCATAGAAGGAGACCCTTTTTTTTTTTTTTTTTTTTTTTTTTTTAACAGTGCGTGCTGATGCTAGGGATGCTGATAGCAGCAGACACCACTAGCACCCCCGGCGAGGCTCCATCTATTGGTGGGACACTGGGGAGCAACACCTGCTGGAAACCGCGTCCAGCGTCCCTGAGAGCATTGTAATTGTGGGATGATTCCCTGCCAGCATTGATTACCGTGGTCCTCATGGGATTTACTGAGCAAGGACGGACCTAGCAGGGATGGGGACTAATGTCTTGGGCCCGGGGTGCACCGGGCTCCATGGCATGTGGGCCATCCCTCCCCCTCCTTGTGAATAATAATGAGACGACACTGAGACAACACTGAGAGAGCTGAGTTGTGTCTAGAAGGACATCCTTTTCCCCAGCGTGTAGACTTCAGTAGGCCCAGATCCTTTTTTCTCGGGCTGCCAGAAACCGGTATGGTGCCGGACCTTTGTTAGGGTTAGCAGGTGAGGTCCAAATCCAGGGGTGGTTAAAGGGACAAAAATACGCTTGCTCTAAGGGGAGAACGACATGCAAGGGCACCCAAGATAGGGAGAGAAGGTAGGAAGGCAGAAATGGTGGAATGGAGGAAAGGGGCAGGAAAGATGGTGAGGAAGGAGCCGAGGCGGGAATGTAGGAGAAAGGGAGGGGGAGATGAAGGAATGGGTGATGAACGAAGGTTTGGATGAAAAAAGGGAGGGATGAATGGATGGATGGAGAGAGAGGAGGGAGGGAGGCAAGGAGGAAGGGAGGGACAGGCTAGGGAGGAAGGAAGGGAGGCAGCAATGTAGGGGAAAGGGAGGGAGAGATGAGGGAACAGAAAGAGGAATTGATGAAAGAACGAAGGTTTGGATGAATAACGGGACGGATGGATAGGTGGATGGATGGAGAGAGGGAGGGAAGGAGGGAGGGAGGGAAGGAGGGAGGGACAGCAGGACAGGAACATCCGAACATGTGACCAGCTATCACTTACTTTCAGTTGCGCGAAGCCTCAAAGGGATATGACGCTTTGGTGCTTTCCCTTGGCCTTTGGCACCATGTTCATGGCTGCTTACTTGGGGTGCTATGTACACAACAATGCCACACAGGTGCAGTGATGACAATTACGATAATAAGGATCAACCATCAGGTTAAATGACATATGTACTTCGAAGTTCCAATGGCAAATGGACATTACTGAATCGGAGAGGAGGGCACAGAAGGAAGAGTCTTGTCAGTATGCGCCTCTCTCTCTCTCTCTCTCTCTCTCTCTCTCTCTCTCTCTCTCTCTCTCTCTCTCTCTCTCTCTCTCTCTC